TATTATAGGCCAAAGGCCATGAATGGACTTCTTGCAACTCCGATTGATGAATACCTCTTTTGCTATGTTGTATTTTACTCAAACAGAACTCTTTACATGCTATTTGGAATTAGTCTATGTATGATTTTCTCATTGCCACATAGCTCTGACTAAAATACTCATAAAGAAAACTCTCCATGTCTTTTCCATATAAAAAGAAATATTTTTCTAATATCTGTTCGATGTTGCATTAAAATAGTGGGTACTTGGTATATATACGTTTTATTAAAAGAAAAGAAGGGTTAACAGGATTTCAACTTTATGAGGTTTGAAGTTTAAAACGACTACTTCAAGTATTAATAATTGAGTTTTAAAATTTAAAATATGTACACATCTAATGAGTTTATTAATACAAATGCATTTATGAGCAAATGTTAGTAGGTTCGGTCGAATCCATGTCTAGGCTTTTAACTCCGCCTCCGAATATCAATATAATAGTATAAAAGGGAGACTCTACAATTAAAAGAATAATCAGAAAGAATCACCCAAATATAAAAGCTTGCTACGGATCAATAGAAAGAAGAAAGTATTCTTGTAAAAGGTTCATATAGAAAACTCCCAGGCCACTACCAAATACATGGATATTCCTCAAATTTAATTGATCAAAACTCCATCTTCTATTATTGAGCTCACCTAAAAACACTTATCGCCTCTATTATTGAAGTCTTACATAGAAACAGTGACTAAATCTTTATGTGCATGTGAACAATAATGTCAACTCTGATTGAAAATCTTCTTGAGATGACAGATAAAATTGCATGAATAGTTCAAGTTTCTGTCCTTTTCAGTTTTCACTTCATTATTCCTTTTACCTTTCTTTTCCTTTTCTTTTCCTTTTCTTTTCTTTGCCTGGTCTGTCCCAACATGATAGACAAATTGCATGTTATCAGTGGTTGTCAGAAAATTTTGAATTTCTGTAATAGCGTCGTAGATGCAGCTGTACAATTAGGAGCACTATCAAAACGTCTTGAAATTTGTGTGAGGCTTAGTTTTGTAACATTTAAGCGGTTACGCTCTGATAGGTTATATGTGTATCCCTCTAATATTTTGATGATCTAACAAACTTACTGTACAGAACCATATAAGGAACCAGATACACTTCTTCAGGACCTTAAAAGATCAACATGTCTCCACCTGGGACACAGTTCAACTCGTTTGAGTCAAAGGAACAACAGCGGGAACAGGTCACTACCAGCTCCCGAGATAACTGTTCGAAGTCAACTCTCCTGCTGGAAAAGTTGTTGCATGCTTACGCTACAGTACAAGAACAGTGCAGCAGTCAACTTTATGAGGAAGACCTTTTACCTACTTTGCTCATATCATTATAAGTGATGTCACACATGTATTATTAACATCAAGGAAGGTAAAACAAATCACTTAAACACTTAGAGAATTCACTCAAGCACTCTCACGTGATTGATCATCAAGCAGACAATTCTCAAGTGCATCAAGAACAAAGAACAACACTTCTACGGACTAGTTCCCCATATCAAGTTATTGTATGTTCTTAATTGAGTTGTAACTTTGTAATAGTTCTTCAATTGTAATTCCTACTTAACTTGTTTAGTAGCATTGCATAGGAAACCCTTTGTAAATTATAAACTCTTGTATTTGTGTCTTGGCTAGAGTTAGTCAAGTTGTAAAAGTCTTTGTAATAGAGTTATTACAAAGTGGCTTGTAATAGAGTGTTATAAGTGAGTGAGGAATTAAAAGGTTAATCCCTAGGTTGCATAGGTTGTAATCTGAAAGTTGCTCAGCTGTGAAGTTGAAATCCTACAAGGGTAGGTCGTGGTTTTTAATCCCGTTGAGCTGGGAATTTTTCATGTAAAATTCCTCGCCATTTATTTACTGCAGTGTGCGTGTGTTCTGTTGAACCTAATAGAGAACCTGGTTCTTTATAGAGTTTAGTGAACCCTTAAATTCTATCAATTGGTATTAGAGTGGGTTCTTTCTATCAGGTTAACACCTAGAAAGGATCCTCATGGCTGCTCCGCCAAACTTTGAAAAAGGCTAGTCTTCTTACAGGACACCAAGGTTCAACGTCCAATATTATGGATGGTGGAAGACTAGGATGCACGACTTCATCATGGCTGAAGATTTAGAGATATGGGATGTTATCGGTGATGGACCTATTGTTCCTACCAAGAATCTTGGCAACCCAGCTGTAGCCATTCCCAAGACAAGGAAAGAATTCAATGACGCTGATCGAAAGGTCATAGAAAAGAATTTTCGTGCAAAGAAAATTCTTGTTTGTGGCATTGGTCTTGATGAATATAACAGGATATCAGCATGTCAATCAGCAAAAAAATCTGGGAGGCTCTTCAGACATCTCATGAAGGAACAACACAGGTTAAGCAATCCAAGATAGACATGCTCACAACTGAATACGAGCTCTTTAGGATGAAAGATGATGAATCTATCCAAGATATGCATACTCGGTTCACCTCTATCATTAATGAGCTTCACTCTCTTAGTGAAATTATTCCAAGAAACAAGCTTGTCAGAAAAATTCCTAGTATGCTGCCCAATTCTTAGGAAAGCAATGTATACGCCATTACAGAAGCTAATGACTTGTAAGAGCTAACCTTCGATGAGCTTGTCGGGAATCTATAAATATATGAAATGAAGAAGAAGAAGGAAAGTGAAAGAAGAGAGCCCAAAAGGGAAAAGAACCTAGTCCTCAAGACAAACAGCAATGGTTCAAGTGATGAGAATAGTGATATGGCTTACTTGACAAGAGGATTCCAGAAGATGGTTCATGGGAATAGAGGCATTCCAAAAAGGGGAAGTTCTAGCAAGCCAAAAAATTATGACCTCTGTCATAAATGTGGAAAGCCAGGACACTTCATCAAGGATTGCCTTCTCCTAAAGCAAGTTCACTACAAAAATAACTTTGACAAAGTAGCCAAGAGGAACCTAGTTCCTGATAAATGCTTCAAGAGGAAAAATGTCGCTGACAATATTGTAAAGCAAGCTCTTGCTGCATGGGGAGACTCCTCCAGTGAATCTGAAGAAGAAAATGATCATGGTGATAGTTCAATGATAGCAGTGGAAAGTGAAGCAACTGAGTATGATTCAATCTTTGCCTTGATGGCTTAGTCTGATGATGATGAAGACGACGACAATGATGAGGTAAATTTTCTGGATGTTCCGAGAAATCTAAAATCTTATTCTCCTAAAAAACTCATATCATTGACAAATGTGTTAATTGATGCTTATCACGGTCTTATAAATGATAAAGATCCTTTAATTGTGGAGTTAGGAGAAGCAGAACAGACCAGAGATAACCTAGTAGTCGTTGTAGTTGATTTATAGGAAATAATTGAGAACCTAAAGAAAGATAAGAATACCTTAGATGAAAAAATTACAAATGTAGAACATGAAAGAGATGATCTAATGGTTGTTGTGGTAGACCTAAAAGAGATCATTGAGTGTGTAAGAAAAGAAAAAGAAATCTTAGCTGAGAGAGTTGCTAACATTGAGCATGAGAGAGATGACCTATTAGTGGTGGTGGTGGACTTAAAGGAAACACTTGGGGAACTTAATATGAAGAGTAGGCCTAAAAATTCTCAAAAGGGAAAGGAAGTTGCAAGTGATGCACTCACTGCGGTAACACCGGGCACTTTAAAGAAAACTGTAAGGCCAGGTTTCAGTCATAGCATAAAAACAAAGATTTCGCTGAAAAAGTAACTACTAGTAGAGAATCTGGTCCATCATATAAAAAACGCATGATGCCTGTTTGGACCAGAAGATCCCTCATTCACCCCTTTCCTCATTAAAAGGGACCCAAACTCGTTTGGGTTCCTAAGTCTAACTCCTAATTTTCTTGTGCAGGGAACAGTGAAATGAAGTATCCTACAATGATACATGGATAATGGCTGATAAAAGCATATGGCTAGAAGTACAAATGATTTCCTTTCACTTAAGGCCCTGCAAGGAGGGAGTGTGTCCTTTGGAAATGGCAAGATAGGATACATACTAGTAGTTGGAAGGATTGGGAAGTCTCTCTCACACTCAATCGAAAATATGTACTATGTGAACGCGTTGAAGTATAGCTTGCAGTGTTTTCTAGATTTGTGACAAGGTAAGGTGGTTCTCGTAGCAAAAAGATACAAAAATATCTATGCTGCTGATTTTGAGTCTCTATTAAATGTTGATCTCAGTTGTCTAAGTGTCGTTGATGATGATGTTGAACTATGGCATAGAAGGCTGGGTCATACAAGCTTCACATTGCTGAACAAATTGGTTAGGAAGGACCTGGTTTGTGGTCTGCCCAATTCAAGTTTCAAGGATCACAAAGTGTGTGATGCATGTGTAAAAGGCAAGCAAGTCAGGTCCTCATTCAAGCCCAAAA